TGGGGAGGGTCTCAGTTGCACCTTCTTCTTAGGGAATTTATCTAGTCTATTCTACTAGGGCCGTTGGATGGCTATCCAGTATACTGGCTTTCGAACTCCAGACGGCCATCGCGTCAGTACCTTTCGTGCACTAATCGGATGACCTAAGGAAAATTTAGAAAAAAAATTGCACTACAAAATGCCAGTGAGTTTGTCTGGTGCATTAGCGCAGCAAACATCACAAACATCATATGGTGGTATTCGGGTGGATAGACCTCATGGGAATAAAGGACTTGTAATGATTCGTCTCTCCATGCCCTAGAACAAGCACGCTCTCCATAGACGTTCTTCTCCGTCTCGCGCACCCTACAGTCTATCATCAGGCGCTAGACTCAAAACTAACTGTGCGAAACCTAAACCTAATACGCCTGTCGCAAATTCATCAAAACATCATCGTAAATGCCATCGTCTTGTGTCGGGAATACCTTCCTTCGCAATATCATCCATGCGTGTTGTCTGAAACACACCTCCCCAAACGCCATAGCCAAATGCTTTGTTGGAGAGCGAACCAAGTTCGTCATTTCCAAACCAATGTCGAAAATCCATCAAGGTGCTGGGTTTTCGCGCACCACGCGGCGGACTCTCTTTTCGTACTCCACTCGATCTCTCTTGAACAGATTGTACGCCTCGGCCTGCGCAGGTGACTCAGGGTTCGGGTCGTTCAGGAGGTCCTGGATACCCAACAAGATCTGCTTCACAGTGATCGCCGGTTTCCATGCCTCTTCTTCATTAAGAATTGAAAGACAAACGGTGCCTGAAGGGTAGACATTTGGGTGAAACAGCGGAGGTACAAATTTGCCTGTTTGTTTTTGGGCGTTAGTCATATCAGCAATGCGAAGGTTCTTCGGCATCTTACATTTCGGGGGTTTGGTAGGATATTCTGGAGATAAATATTGTCAGCAGCAACTCTTCGACGCTGTTTAGCGGTGTCACTCACCTTCTGGAAACGCAATAGTCAGCTTGAACAAGCCACCTTCCCAGATTGTCTTCTCCTTCCCCGGAACACCGCATTCCCAGTTCTTCAGGTCCAAAATTCCCTCCTTTGTACGCGCGGGTTTCGCGTAAAAGCCAAACGGGTGGTCACGCCGCCACTGCTTGCTGCATTTCTGGTCAGAGCTGGCGCAAAACTTTAGCACGTGCAAAACCCCTTCTACCTACCGCTCTTCCTGTAATCGATTCTGACACAGGGCCATCTTAAGGCACTTGATAGAGTCAACGTGTGGTCGGGCTGTTGGCTGGAGATCGCCGTCGAAAGACTCGAAAGGCTGTGCACGAGGTTACCAAATGAGGGGTCTTCGTTGCGCGATGCAAAGTGGACGTAGAATCGCAGAACCAACACTCGGGGTTGGCAGCCTTATCGTCGCGGGCCCTCGGGGAGCACAGCTTGAAGTATTTGTCTTGTCCCGAAGAGAAATCCACGGATGCAAAGGCTTTGCCGTAGTCGAAGTTGTCAGTACTAGCACAGGTGAATTGTTGTAAAAGGACAAGTGGAGACGATTTGAAGCGCCGCAAGGCCGCTTAGGCCACGCCGGAAGAGGAGGGACAGTGCCTGACACGAAACCCAAGGCCACCAGATAGTGGTCAGGTAGTCACACCTGCTTGTACTCCATACTCCTACCACAGAGGGTGTCCAAGAAGTCACTGTCGGGCAAAGTGCTGGCCACTCGACGGAACCTTCTAGGCGGTTGGTTGCTCCTTCCTGGCCTGTGTACCCTCGTCACCCCGCCACCGGCCCCTGTCACAGTGTCTCCACCACCAGACACTCTTCCCTCGGCTCAGCAGCAAACCTATTGCGAGGCTTTGCTGGGCCGTGGAGGGTTGGAGGGGCATGAAAACCAAACAACTTACTAAATTACGGAGGAACACAGGCTTCCATCGCATCTTCAAGCACCGTCCTCTCCAACTACAGTGTGATTACCGGGTATATTCCAACCCTGGTCCTATTTTTATCCCCCCTGAACTGATCCAGCAAGTCGAAAGAGCTGTGCAGCAACAGGAGGGCATTTGCACCCGGAGATCTGATATTGGTCTGTGACGGCCTAGACGTTGACGCTATGGACGCAAAACCTGTGGCTCCAGAAGAGATCAAGGAAGGCGATGTAGAGGTCAAGGCAACGGATATCAATGCTGCTGCAGCTGGGGCCTCAAAGCCGGCCGCAACAACCGAAGACGTGCCTGATCCGGATGAGGATGACCTAGACGACTTGGATGGTGAGACCAGAGCACGAGTTATACTATGGTTCTGGGAAATCGCAGAGTTCTAACTCCGTTATAACAGACATGCTAGATGAATTTTCAACCGTCAAACTTGAGGACGGGGCCAACAAGCCTACTGAGTCTAGCAGTGCCGGCCCTTCAACTTCAACACCCAAGCAGGGTGATGCCGCTCCCAAGGAATCCCCAGCTGCTGAAGAAGAGCCATTCTCAGAAGAAGATTTCGCCAAACAGCTTCAAGCTGGCATGGCTGACCTGCTAGGTGAACTGGAGCAATCGGTATGCTGCTACAGCCATATCCATGTCGGTCATTACCACGAACTAATACATTCCTAATAGCCGGAAATGCAGCAGCAGTTTGAGGATATGTTCAAGCAAATGGCTGCTGCTTCAGGGGATGCAGCGCCAGGAACAGGGGCAGCGGGCTCCTCTTCTGCCAAGGCCGGAGCCCCAGGCACTGCCTCTGAAGCATCCTTCCAAGAGACAATCCGCCGGACCATGGAACGAATGCAGGCATCTGGGGACCAGGCTACAGCCGCCGCAGCTACTAGTAGCGGTGACGATTTCATGTCTGAGCTGCTGAAGCAAATGTCCTCTGGAGACCTCAACGGCGAAGGCAGTGAGGAAGAATTCTCCAAGATGCTCATGGGCATGATGGAGCAACTGACCAACAAGGACATTTTGTACGAACCCATGAAGGAGCTCGACGACAAATTTCCAGAGTGGTTCGAGAAGAATAAGTCCTCGACCCCAGCAGAAGATCTCAAGCGATATGAAGAGCAAAGGGTTCTTGTTCGAGAGATTGTAGCCAAATTTGAGGAGAGCAGCTACTCCGACAGCAACGCCTCCGACCGTGAATATATTGTCGATAGAATGCAGAAGGTATGTGACGGCTTTGTATTTGTTTTTTTTTTTTTATATCGCCACAATAGTCCGTTGACACATGTGACAGATGCAAGCCGCTGGCTCACCGCCGTCAGACTTGGTAGGAGACATGGCATCAGCACAAGAAGCATTCGGAGGAGCAGATGATCAATGCAATCCACAATAGATTTCCTAGTTGTCTCGATATTCCGTACCCTCATAATACCCCACGTACACGAGCTCGGTACACAATGACGAATCTGTACAATAGCAGTCCCTGCCACTGCCCAACGTGTCCTCCATACCCAACGCCGATGAAATGAACCCCCCTAAACTCCGTGCAATTTTAGTACAGTGCAATCACAAATGCTTTGATCCAAGTGCTACGATGCTCCGGCTCTCATGACATATCCATCTGCTCACCAGAGGATTGTGGTTGTGAATATGCTTGCTCTTGGGCGATTAGCTCAGCAAACACATCATCATAGTCCTCGTCAGACAGTAAAGGCGACGACGGTCTCTGACCAAGTTGACTCTGTTGCTCGTACGAAGCAATCATGGCCTCGAACTCTTCTTCCTCCTGGCACACCTCATCTGTCATATCGTCGTGCTCACTGCCATGTCGGTCATTGTGCTCGAGCTTTTCATCTTCTCGAAACGCCATGGCGTCTTCTAAATCCGTATCCGATAAAGCTGGCGCATCGTACGAAAGTCGTCCAATATCAGCCAGCAAGCTATTCTTCAGGAACTACAACAGCATTAGTACATTTCACGATCCGAACAGCAGGCACTGTCTGCAATCGTACCTGTCCCTCAATATCTCTCCTCTGCCACGCCTTCTCATCCTGCTTCTGTCTCACGCTCTGCAAGAAGTTGAGCCGTCTTGACTCCTGCGCGTCCTCCCTCTTCCGCAGCAGGGGGTTCTTGCGCACTGATCGCGACGCGTATTTGAAATTCGGCTGCTGAATGGGGGATGATTGAATTTGCCTCTGGGGGAGGGTGTTTCTGTCGACGGGGGAGAGGGGCGATGAGGCGCGGATAGGTGATGAGGAGAGGGGGGAGGGCACGCTTGGATGGTGATTGAACCCGAAGATGGGTGTTGCGACGGAGAGCATGGCGTTGGTGGGCGGCGGTGAGTATTTGGGGTGATTAGGCATGTGCGAATATTGAGTAGCCTGTGATCAGGGATGGTGAATTGAGCTTCCGAAGAGTGCTGAGTGTGTCCGGGGAAACGCGTGGGTGTCGTGGATCTTGAATGGGGAGCGGTGGTGGTGAGGTTAATTAAGACGCGGTCGACCATGGCGCGCAATCACGTGGTGGGACGTCAATATTCAGTGGCGCGACGTAACAGTGGGCCCGCTCCCCTCCATGAGATATCGGACCTGGTCGCGGCTGTCACGCCGGGTGGCGTCGAGTCAGATGAAGCACTTGCCTGCAAACTGCGCCGTACAATTTGACGAACCACGCCGTGCTCGGTAACATGCAGGTTTTCCAGGCCAATTGTTGTTCGGTGATTGGAAAACTCCAATTTGACAAACATCCAATTAACTACAGTATTTGCTTATTTTTTTGCCCTGTAAATAAGGAGCGCAAAAGTCGGAGATAATGTACAATGTACTCCGTAATGCCAATTCCGAGAGAGAAACAGCCCCTCAGAACTTCCGAAAAGAGCTGGCCGAAATACTCATTCACCGAGTTGGTTGAGCGCCGAGCCAATACAATCCAAGACACAATGTCTGCGCACCACTGCTACCCATTGATAGAAGGCGCAGTGGAGATTTCCTCAGTCACGAAATATAAATATGGCTGTGGTTGTGGTCGTGGGCAAGGAGGGGTTCTCGGCGATGTAGACGCTCACCGAGCACCCAAGACAAAAATTCACAATGGGCAACAAGATGAAGACACTGGGCATCTTCAACTTCACTGGCCGCCCTGTACTGGTCCAATACCGCTCCTCCAATTTCCTCATCCTGCTCGTTGTATGCGCCGCCGTATTCACCGACATATTCCTCTACGGCATCCTCGTGCCCGTCCTCCCCTTCGCCCTGACGGACCGAGTCGGCGTGCCGCACGACCAAGTTGCCAAATGGAACGGCATCCTCCTCGCGCTGTACAACGCGGGCTTATGTATAGGGAGCCCCGTCTTTGGCTTCTACGCTGACCGCACTTCGTCACGGCGACTGCCCTTTCTGCTTGGTCTAATCGCCCTGGCTGCTGCTACACTGTTACTATGTCTAAGTACATCCATTGCTTTGTTTGCAATAGGTCGTGTTCTTCAGGGCATCAGCGCCGCGATATGCTGGGCGGTCGGTCTGGCGTTGCTGGCTGACACGATGGGGGAGAAGAGAGGTTGGGCGATGGGGTGGGTGAACTGGGCCATGACGGCGGGCTTCTTGCTGTCTCCGATTATCGGGGGCATTGCGTATGCAAAGGCCGGGTATTTTGCCGTGTATTACCTCGCTTTTGGCTTGATTGTGTGCGATATCGTGCTGAGGCTGCTGTTGGTGGAGAGAAAGGTCGCGCAGAAGTGGCAGCATCGTGGGCGGAATGAGGGCTCGAACACGGCCAACCAGGAGCAGCAGCCTGAAGAGAGTGCTGTGAGATGCTCAGGGGACGTGAATCCCGATTATGGAACGATTGAGCGGGATGTGGCAGGACCAGCGAGGGCATATTGGAGTCTGATCAAATCGAGACGCCTCCTGGCATCACTCCTAGGCTGCATCATGCAGTCTGCATCCAAGTAAGCCATTTCTTCTTCTTTTCTTTCTTTTTGGGGGGGTGTAGCAACGTCATGGAGAGAAAGTACTGAAAGTTTCAGATTCGCCTTTTATACCGTAGTTCCTCCTTTCGTCGACAAGACGTTTCACTGGGACTCGCTTGCAGCCGGCCTCATATTTCTATGCGTCTTCTTGCCCGGCTTCCTGTCGCCTGTTGTCGGCACCGCATCCGATCGATACGGCACGAAATGGCTCTCGAGCGGTGGCTTTCTCATGTCCATCCCCATCTTTGTCTGTCTGCGCTTGGTCGACTCGGACTCCATCTCGCACAAGGTCCTTTTCGGCGTGCTGCTGACACTCATGGGTGTTGCTACCACCTTGTCCAGCACCCCGCTGATGGCAGAGATTACCTACGTGATTGAAGAGAAGGAAAAGAGGCAGCCTGGGGTCTGGGGAGCCAAGGGAGTATACGGGGTTGGGTTTGGACTGTTTACTACGTCGTTTGCGCTTGGGGGCGTCATTGGTAGCTTCATGGCTGGCTACCTGTACGAAGGGCCGGGTTGGGAGACTTTTGGATGGGCATTCGCGGTTTGGTGCGCGGGAGGTGCGTTGATATGCGGCTTGTTTGTAGGGAGATCGGGGCAGGAAGCACGGCGGTAAATATTTAAAATAAAGAGAAATAGTGTGTCTGGCAAAGAGCAGGCAGAGAGTTGGACTATGCGCTGGCTGGTAGAAGACGGTTCAACGAGACAACATGAATCAATGTGTAAAGGTGCAACTATTCAATGTTCCATGTCCGCGCGAGGTCTGGTGCCTGCCCCGCTACCTGCAGGCTACAGGTGTTGTCGGCGCTTTTACTGACGCCGTCCACCGGTACCGCACAGCAGCCTCCCGTGGCCTCCATGTCCCATTGATGCTAACCCCAGTGGCTCTCGGGGGCATCAGATTGTGCGCCGCCTGTTCCTCAGAGCACTTGACATCATTGATGCATCACTGATGTCTGGTTTGCACTGGAGGCGGGATAGCGCTGTTCCATTGTCATTGATGTCGCCGGTGCCAGTGGCAGCCACGGTCGCAGCTGGCTCGGCCCTGGACAGGCCGTGCCTGGACACCCCGTCCCTCCGTTCCCAACCGATTGAGGACGGGGGCCAGGCGCCTCGGCGAATCACCGTGTCGCACAGATTGAAAAGCTGATCTTCTGATGACGATGTGGATGCTGATGAACTGCCCCAACTTTTTTTGTCTCGAGTGACCGTCCAACACTGGCACCACTTCAATGCTCCCTTCTGCCTCACTCCATATCCTTGCCTCGCCGTACGTTGTTTTTGTTTTCTTGTTTGCTTTGAGAATGCATGTCTCAACCTTGGTGGCAACCACTCAACGTCGCTGAGAGAATTTGACGGCGGTGTTCCCCGATGCCCGCCAGGATCCCTTTTTCACAGAATGAGCGCTCTTACGATCCCCCGAATAGCCACCCGGCTTGGCCCCAGAACATGGACATGCTCAGCTTGTCAGGGCCAATTGGCCGTCGCGAATTCTCACCCGTTTGGAGGACTCAGACGCTTTGCTTCGGCTAGTGGCTCATCACAAGGAGCCAACGGCAATGGTCGTAGAGGATCGCGATCTCGAAGGGTGTTGTTATTCGCCTCGGCCAGTGCAGCTGGTGTGGCGAGCACAGCGCTTGCTTTTACAGATGAAATTCGGAATAGCTACGAGTCTGTGGAGCGAACCGGTAGAGTTATTGCCGCACTGGCTATTTGTATTAATGAGTAGGGGTTTCCGCCGACCTGGATGATGCGATGGTATATTCTGTGGCTAATCGTCTTGACAGTTACCGTACGACACTAAACGCAAAGGCCACGATACAAGACGAGGAAGAACAGACCAAGGTCTTGCAAGCGTGCCACAAACGTTGCGCCGAGAGAACATTTAAAGTGTTGGAAAAGAATGGCGGCATTTTCATCAAGCTGGGCCAACATTTGGTATGAAGGGCAGTTCTCCCGATAGCGCCAAACACAAAAATTAACCGTGCTTTCTCCTCCACAGAGCGCCATGAATTATCTCCTGCCGCCCGAATGGACAACAACTTTCGTCCCCTTGCAAGACAAGTGTCCCGTTTCGTCGTTTGCATCAATCGAAGACATGTTCCGCAAAGATACCAATGGAGAGCTATGGGACATCTTTTCTGAGTTCTCAAGTGAACCAATTGGCGCAGCCTCTCTTGCCCAGGTCCACCTAGCAACGTTGAAGGAGTCTGGTCGCAAAGTTGCTGTCAAAGTGCAGCATCCTGACCTCGAAGCATTTGCGCCTTTGGATCTCGCTCTTACAAAATACACTTTCTCTACGTTGAAACGATTCTTCCCCGAATACGACCTCGAGTGGCTTTCTTCCGAGATGGAAGTGTCGCTGCCAAAGGAACTCGACTTTCAAGAGGAGGCGGACAACGCCAGGCGGATGAAGGCACATTTTGCCAAGATGCCCGAGCTGCCTCTCGTCATTCCCGAGGTGATTTGGGCCAAGAAGCGTATTATAGTCATGGCTTGCGAGTCTGGTGCTCGACCCGACGACCTGGAATACCTGGACAAAAATGGAATCGACCGCGACGAGGTCTCTGCCACGCTAGCACGCATCTTCAACGAAATGATTTTCGGAGATGGCGCTCCGCTGCACTGCGATCCTCACGGTGGGAACATTGCCATTCGCAAGAACAATGCTCGCCGTGGCATCGGACGCGGCCCAAACTTTGATGTCATACTCTACGACCACGGCCTCTACAGAGATATCCCGCTGCCCTTGCGGCGCTCATACGCCAAGATGTGGCTGGCAGTCATTGACGGCGACATGGACCGCATGAAGAAGTACTCGCACGAAGTCGCGGGCATCGGCGACCAAGACTTTCCCCTCTTCGCATCCGCCATTACAGGACGCGACTTCAGCGTCGTCAGCAACCAGGGCTCTATCCTGCAGACCCGCAGCGCCGACGAGGAGCAAACCATGAGCTCGTCCCTTCAAGAAGGGCTCATTGTCGACCTGGTCCAGATGCTCAGCCGAGTGCCGCGCATCATCCTGCTCATTCTCAAAACAAACGATTTAACACGAAGCTTGGACGAGAGCCTGCAAACTCGTCAAGGTCCTATTCGCAGCTTTCTGATTCTCGCGCGATACTGTACGCGCACCGTCTTCCACGAACAGCTAGAGCAGATTCGAAACAAGGGATCACTGCTTTGGCCGCCAAATGGTTTGAGGGTGTTTGCCGCGTGGTTGGGTTACCTGAGGGTGGAGGTGAAGCTGGAGGCCTTTGAGCTCTGGCTGGGTGTCAAGCGGGTGCTGGGTTGGAAGGTAGACTTTGCTGGCGGTTCGCAACTGTAGAGTGAAATAGAAGTAGATAGACCGTGTATGATGGGGTATGATAGACTGTATATATGTAAAAGCGATGGAAATTTTAGAGTATAAGCGGAAGAGTTGATGGAGATTTTCTCCAAGGAGCGGTGCCCTGTAGGGTAGTACGTGGCAGATCTTGTCTTTTTTTTATTTTTTGACACGTTTGACACAACAAGATGGGCATTGCAAAATAGAAACATTGCAGGTAGAGTAGGAGATATTCGAGGTATGGTAAAAGTTGCATAATCTAGAGAAACACATTACAGCGCGTGATATGTTGCCGAACCGCAAGTCCGCAAGATACAAATATGGACAGAGCCTACCACGCGACATGCTGATCGGAATAAAAAGTCGACAAAAAAAAAAAAAAAAAAACACGGGATATAAAGATCCGTAGACTCTGGAATCCAAAAAAGAAAGCTTGGTTTCGCCCGGGCTCGAACCGGGGACCTTCTCGGTGTTAGCGAGAAATCATGACCAACTAGACCACGAAACCGTGGATGCGCTCCTGTGCGGAACTCGATGGAGAGGACGGTCTTGATTGAATCTAAGAACCTTTCTCCGTATTGCCACTCAGTAATTTGTTGGCTAATGATTTTGTAGGATTGTGTGACAAGGGCTTACTATGTATAAGGGCTTGGAGCAATTTCGTATTCAGCTAATGATTCGCTTTCATATCAAAGGCTTGTGGTCTTCTCAAGGCCCCTGAGGGCGGATGACCCTTGTTTATACAAAGCAGCGGAGAGCAAGTGAGCCTGGAAGCCCAAGGCGTCAATCAAGTCTCGAGCGCGTGCGTAACCATCGTCAGGTTCAAGGTACGGCTCTTGCCTCTGTTTGCAGCTTGACCTCCGTGTAACAGATGCCTTGAGATTATTATTTCTTTGTCAGTCGGGTTCTCCTTTTTGAAACCTATGGATGGCGAGTCTCTTGGCGCACGCTGTGAAGCTTTGGAGGTGAAACGTTTGCAAGCATGACGGACGTTGCTGGGGATGAGCACTTTTGCCATTCGTGTATTTGGCTGGAACATGTCGCATGTCGTTGTTCTTGGATGACGTACAAATACCAGCGGCTCATTTTCGGGATAGCATCTCCTTTTGCCTTTTGCGCAAACACCTTTTTGGCAATAATGAGTTGAGAGAGGAAGCAGGTTAGGAAGGGATGATTCAGACTTCAGAGAGATCAACTCGCTGAGGTGTTGTGGGCAAGGGTTAGGGTTAGGATAGAGGAAGTACCTATAGGTAGGTATGTTTCGCCCCTCAAGTGCTACATTCTACGATTTGCTAGGACTGATATTAATCCAACGCAGTACAAGGTACCTAGTTAAAAAAGCCGAAGCCTTCTTACTACTTGCACAATCAACATCAACGCTACATGTTTTCGTCCAGATAAACGGCAGCCATAGTCCAACTTGCAGCGGCTCCATCGACCTGCTATATAGAGCCAAGCCTTGACGTATATCTGTGTTATCTAGGTGCATTGTGTCTATTCGGCATGCCTTTGTTGCCTGGCTGCGGGGGTGTTGGGCAATAAGAATCCCCGCCTCGTCTTATGCCGTGACATGAAGCTGAAAGACCCCTGTGGTGGCTTGCGCTGCTGAAAGATGGAGGCCGTCATTCCCAAAAGTATACAAAAACCTGCTTGATGAAGGAGTGCTTGGGTCCGGAAACCGTCCTTTCTAAACTTGACAAGTCGGTAATTGAAAGCAACACCAGAAGCGGAATCCGCCAAGTTGCGGCGACTTGGGCCATGCTGGAGAAACTAACTCGAGAATTCGCCAACCACGGCATGGCGATTCACTGCGACATCTACACCGAGGATGGCTATCCCACAGACACACCCGTTGTTCTGTATTTTCACGCCGGGGGCCTGGTTGGCTGGGGACGAAGAGCAGTGCCGCCGTGGCTCGTTCAGGTCGGTTTCCCACGCCTCTCACGAGGGCTACCTATCTAGAGTGCGCATGGCTGACGCTTGACTTGCTTGGCCTGGCCTGTATACCAGACCTGCTGGGAGAGAAAATGGCCCCTTGTAAGCGCAAGCTACCGCCTCATGCCCCAGACCACGTCCAAGGGCCTGATGGAAGACGTCGATGCGGCGTATGAATTCGCTCGGAACTGGCGGGCTGATGGGAAGAAACGCCGTGTCATTGCCGCCGGCAGCAGCGGCGGTACGTTGAAGAGATTATTGATGCTTCCTTGTAAGCCCAGTCGTTCTCTCTGACAATAATATCCAGGCTTCTTCCCATGCGTCATGCTGGCTCATCACAACCCCGTCAAACCGCTCGCACTCCTCTCAGCCCAGGGTATCAACTCGTTCCGCCACAGCTTCTTCAACTCGTCCACCATGCTCACGCCCGAGCCGATTCCAGACTCGGTCATGGCGCCCATCATCGCCGGCCCCGTCGTCATTGGCGAAACACGTCCTGACGACCCGTCTGCCTTTGATGTCGGCCAACTCACACCCGATGGTTCCAGAAACCCCGACTACAAGCCTCCAGCTCGCCCGCAAACCCCCGATGACTCAGACGACGCTGCTCGTCTCCGGGGTATGCTGTACGACTACTACACTCACAAGAACCAGTGGGTCGAGCTGCTGGGTGACGTTGACCCAGGCTACGCGTGGGCAAAGGAAGATGCGGCCGGGGCCAAGGCTCGCGTGGAGGCGTGGCCGCCAACCGTCATCTTCCACGGCAACGCCGACTACGACGTGGAGCTGGCGGTGAGCGAAGAGATGAGGGACTCCCTGGGCGAAGACAAGGTGACGCTGCTGGTGGCAGAGGGGCAGGGCCATCTCTACGACTTGGTCAAGTTTATTGAGGATGATGCCCCCGGGATGGATACCGTCAGGGAGGCCGTCCGGTGTCTGGATGGAATTATTGCCAGGCAATGATGAGCCGTGCCTTTTACAGGAATGAAGATACAAACTACATATTCATGCGCTACTACTTGTACCACAACTACTCTTCCTTGACCGGGCCAAGCATGGTCTCGTGACTCTCGTCCTCCAAACCGGCCGTCACGCCTTGACACGAAGAAACAGGTTTGGACACAGTGTATATTAATAACTACCTAGGTACTAGTTATTAACTAAGGATAGAAAACACAGATCCTTGAGCAAAGCTCTAGGGTACTGTGCAGAGTTAAGAAAGAATCAAACATCCTCCTCCAAAACAAGACGATCGTCAAAAGGGCCCTGGCAATTCTTGCGCCGGCAGGTTGAGCTGCCATTGCGGCGGTGATTGGCACTTTTTAAAGCCACTCAGCCTCATCATACTCGGCGTGATGACGAGGGGGGCAGTTATAATCATTCTTCTGGCACAGGGTGACTGTGAGTTTGGTGCCGGCACGGCATTGTGCTGGATGGGGTTCGGGGCGGCCAGGGACCAAGGCCAAGCGACGGCACTGAGGCGGCCTCTGGGGCTGAGGTTGAACATAGACAACGCCGGGGAATCCGGTATGCGGGACGAGGCGCTTGATCGTGTATCTAAACTGGGCTCCTTGACTGTGGTACTTCACTGCTACCTGGCCCCGCCCCGGCATGGGCGGCGCATGCGACAGCACCTTCAGCTTCAGGCTCGCGCTTGGCGGTGGGTCTTGAATTACGTATGAGCCATGCGCCGCAATCTTCACGGAGCTAGCGTCGACCTCAAACTCGTCGTCGTCGTCGACGTCGATCGATTTTCCTGGAAGGGGGTTCAGAATAATGGCCTGATTCAACCTGTTGTTGATGGTGATGGCGCCAGGCTTGGAGGATTCCATCTCGTCCGAGAAGTATGCTGGGGAGGCCAGAGAGGCGGCCACGAAGGCGGCAACAGAGAGCATCGAGTACTTCATGTTGGCGTTGGATTGGGTGTGAATAGTAATAGATTGTATTGTATTGTAGTAGCAGTGTAGGTTGATTTGGTTTGAGGAGAGTGCATGGTTTTACATGTCGAATACGGCTCTTTATATACTTTTTTGCATGCACGCATATCCGTTATTTTTCACATGTTGTTATATAAGAGTAACCAGAATCAAGAAATAAATTATATTAACTTTACCGCAAAAATTTCTTTTTCGTGAAATTTATTTTCTTCTGATAAACTTTTACAACGTATTATATAATAACTACAGTCTAGAATGAAGAAACACGTTATATTGACTTTACGGCCATTTTATTTTCCTTGAGAAATTTATTTTTTTCTGATCAACGTTTCAAAATGGCCACGAAGACCTGACAGTGCAGCTCGACAAACCCAACTCTGGTGTAGATGCAGCTTTTACCGTTTCTACTGGGCCCTATGACGGGATATACGGAAGGCTGTGGAATGTATGCAAATTAAATTTTATCTCGCTGAAAGTTGCCCACGTAGCAACTACATTGCCGCGAGGTTTCTCCTCAGTTTTCGATGGGTTCCATGGCACTTGTACTGAACAAATGCTAATTGAGCCTCTTGTATCATTATGCGTTTGGATACGGTATGTAGAAAAAAAGAGTCGTGTACTAGTGTCGAAAGCATCAATGTGCAGAAAACCCAAATCCATGTACAATCCGTGCATGTGAGAAATGTTCCGTCTACTTTTCCCACCCGTGGTTGCTGCCACGCAACAACAAGAGCAAAAAGCCAAAATACGCCGACATCCAGCAGCTTCTAGAACCCCAGTTTTCATCAAAGCCTAAAATAAACCTACATTTCCAGCCATGTAGCTGTCTGGAGCATTGGATTGAAGCCATGTAAATGCAACGCGGAAAATAAAGCTTCAAGCCGCACATCCCGTCGTCTCCCCCTCCTCGAGGAACGACGTTATTCGACAAACACCAAGCCCAGACTTTATCCCCAAAGGTAAATGGATCGGGAACAGAAATGGCACGCTCAGATTGACTTTGAAGCACAATCTTGGTCAGCAAGCACAGCAAAGTTTGGATTCCGCTCTTCTCTCCACGTTTGAGCTTGTTCCCGTATCGTGGCCGTAGTTGTTGCATGTGAATGCCCAAGTACTTGCTCGACACCAAGTCTAGAATCTACAAAACACGACACAGTCGCCGTGCACATACGTCACCCCAAGCCTCGTGGTGAAGAGCAAAATTCTATAACAAATGGGAATTTTTGTGACGTATTGAGCTGTGCCTTGATGAATCATTGCGCTGTTTGCGACGGGTCTTCCTCTTGGATAAACATTTGAATGTTGTTGTTACATGTACTCGACGGCCAAATATTTGGAAATTAAAATTACACAGTTGGGATTCGGGACCAGTGCCACCAGACGCCACTGCCACTCACTTGCTGAGGGGTCAGCGGTTTAGCATTTCCATCGCACATCTTGATTGACCGCGATGCGTCGGATTTCCAGCCAGTCGTCCGCACGCCAGGCAATCAATTCATCGCCAACAGAGTCAAGAGCAATCAATTGATGGCCAGGCCCACTGCTGCCCGCCGCGAGAAGAGAGCACCCCATGACGTATTTTTCTAACCAGACAGACCCTTTGCGCAAGCGTTGACAATCTTGTCAGTCAAGTAAAAAAAAGAATAATTCATATAGAATAAAAAGTAAAAGAAAAGAAAGACCTTATAAAAGATGAAAAAAAAAAGAGATCCCACCGGAACCCATTCTCAATCGCATCTTGGATATAGGAAAAGCCCGATGCGGGGGTCGAACCCGCAACCTTGAGATTTCGTGTACTCGTAAGAGTCTCACGCTCTACCGATTGAGCTAACCGGGCGAATCCGAACTCGGTTGCTAACCTCGCTCGGAACAGTCCGGTTGGATTGTTGAACGAGAGCAGAGTATAATCAACTTATAAAGGCTGTGTAAAAAATTTTCGTTTTTGGCTGTGAAATGTGCGCGCTGGGACTAAAGGATCAACTGGTGTGGTCTGGAGTGGGCTTCGGCGGGGCTTTGGCGTGGGACCCTGGCCGCAGGCTGCATGACTTGGGACCTTGGGTCATTGATGGACCCATTGATACTTGAGGTTTCTGCTTGTCTTGCAGGGGGCGGCTCGTGCGGACTGCACAATATTCAAGGCGCGAAATTTCATGCTGAGTGGCCTGTGACTGCGAGGACGAGGCACATGTTTGCTAGTTTCAACCGACTTCTCCATTGCGTGGGCGTTGATTGCCAAGTGCGCGTGTAGAGAATAGACAAAATGCATGTCGTTCAGACATCAATTCGTGGCTCTGCCATGCTCCCATGCTCCCATGCTCCGTGATGTAAAAATACAATCAATATACTAGATCCAACCATCCGTATGCAAGTTTCTGGTATTTGAAAACAGAATGCGCCGTTCCCATGCATTTCCTTCTCTCCTCACTGCCAACCTCAACCGCTGCCACCGCTCCCAACGCCAATGCTGTCCTCATACTCTGTCCATCGCAACGCCTCTTCTACATCATTCACAAAATGCGACTCGCCTCCACTCAGTGCCACAATGCCACTTCGTTCCAGCAGCTTCCAGACGGCGTGATCTCGGCGACTGGGGCCACGGGAGAAGAAGATTCGTACACCGCGTTCTCGGTAGTTGCGTACAATTTCCTCAAGAACCTGCGTGCCCGAGCCGTCCATCGATGTGACGCCGTGAATGTCAAAGATGACGTTTCGGTTGGATTCCTGGCTCCGCAGACGGGGGAGAGCCGGGTGCACTTTTGATGTTCCATACAGCTCTAGCCGTCGCAATCGCGCCTTCAACTCTCCCGTGTTGGCAAAAGTAAGCGGCTCAGGAATCTTGACAATGAGACAGCCCTCAATAAACTCCAGGCATGCATGTCCAGACTCGGCGTTTTCGAACCGGTTTGTCCCGGGAATGCGCCCCAGAATCTGAATTCTAGGGCGTGTGCTGTGCTTGATGACGAGAAGGATCGAAATGCCAACCCCCATGGCCATGCCGAGCGTGAGAGAGTAGAAAATCGTCGACAGGAAGATGACGGCCATGAGCCCAAGCTCCGTCCAGCCCCTGATTGTGACGAAGAAGGCAATGTCATGCGGCGCCTCCTCTATCAATGAATACGCCACCACAGATATCATGGAACAGAGAACAGGTTTCTGTCGAGTGTTAGACAAACACATGTTCAAAACCTCAACAAGCACGCACACTCACCGGTAAAAAGTAAAAGTACGGTAGTAGAAACAAGATGGACAAGAGTGAGATCAAACTCAGCAGGATCGAGCTTACGGGGCTCTTGCCACCAGTCGTTTTGTTCACCTTGCTTCTCCCATAGCCTCCAAAGGCCGGCAGACTCATAAAACACGCGCCGACGAGGTTGGCAGTACCAAGGGCAATCATTTCTCGATTTGCGCTCAATTCGATGCCTTGAATGGCATCATTGCCTCCCAGGCTCTTGGCGGCGACGGATGACTCGAAGAAGCCGAGCAGTGCAATAAGAAAAGACGTCGACATGGCACTGCGAATGTGCTTCATATGAGCCAATTTAAACGGCCATCTAAATGCAAAAACGCCTCCGTTGGCGGCTTTGACGGCGCCAAGGACCTCAACGCCTTGCTTGTCCCAGCGGAAATGCCAGCAGAGAATGGCAGAAACGACGACGACCAAGAATCGATCTGGTACAAACACGACGGAGGGGAATCTAGGTTCAAGACGCTTCTTAAACTCGCTGTACTTTTGTCAGCAACCCGATGAACGGCATACAGCGCCAACGAATGTCAAGACTCACCGGAAAATCATAATGACCAGGAAGCTGATGCCGGAAACAGCAAACGTCAGATGGTGGACCTCGCTAATGTTCTCTACAATGAAGGCAATCTTCTCAACGGTACTGCCGTGGCTTGCGCCATCATCGCTTGCAAGATCGTTCAGACCAAGCTCAGGGATGAGCTGGTCTACGGCTATGACAAAGCCAATGGCGCTGATAAATCCACGCAAAAAGGGGCGGCTTAGTACGCTGTCCAAGAAACCCAACCGCGCTATTCCTGCAATCAAAACCGTAGCTCCCGCCATACCAGCTACAACTCCACAGATCTGGGCATGGACGAGGTCGTTATCCTCAGCCGAACCACCACTGTCGACGCTCTGCTGCACAACCGTGCCTACAAGCAGAGAGCCAGCAGCCTCTGGACCAACAACCATCTGCGATGATGAACCCAGCAAGGCGTAAATGAAGGGCTGGAAAACAAAGGCATACAGGCCGTGAATTGGAGGTACATGAGCGAGGTTGGAAGCGAGCGACAGCGCCATGGGGAGATAGAAGGATGCAATGGTAATGGCAGACACAAGGTCGCCCTGGAGATAGGACCATTTATACTGCTGCATCCAATTCAAGCAAGGAATGTAGTAGGACAGATACCTATCGACACTATTAGCAAGCCAGATGAAAGGCTGTGGGGCATTTGCAAAAATTCACATCAAGGGCGTATCTCTAAATCCAGCTCGATGAGCGAGTTCCCTAGTCTCGCCCATCCTCTTGGTCCGGATTCTCCCGCTAAACCATTTCTTCCAGCCCTCTTCGATTGATTCTTGGGACGAGGAATTGTCAAACAGCCCATCAGGTGCCGTGGTGACAATATCGTCCCTAGCAATGGGGAATACTTCGTCCGGGGTCATCGGTCGAGGGCTAAACGTGCCGTGGTTGCAAACGCCAGGGTGAACGGCGCTCGATCGCCTGCGTTCGGTACTTCCGCCGTCGGAAATCAATGGCGTGGACTCGTCTGTATTGCCACCAACGGTGGCATCGCCACGAGCAGCGTCATCCCTAGAAGGGACTGCTTGTCTAAATGCCGGGCCGCTGTCCTGGCTACTGTCTCGACTCGAAGCTGCGTGGCTCTGACGTAGCGAGCTTGGCTGGGCTGGCCGGTGGCTCCTGCTGGAGGACGAGTCCTCACGATGATGCGAGGGATTCCCCATC